AAGTTATACTAGCCTTGCAGTTTTCTTTAAATAAACACATAGAAATCCATTAGCAATTTCTAAATACAGATAAACGATGCTGGAAACTATCAAACTAATTCACACTAAGCAGCTAATCCTTAACAATATTATGCTATTGAAAGTGCTGTTGCTAACTTGTCTTGGTAACTCAGAGTTTTTATTCGAAGCATACTTTTCTCTGTACTGTTCAAGTAGGAGAGAAGACGCATTTCAGCATCTTGCTCAGAAAACCCCAGACTCAATATATCTAATTTTTTGATAACTCTATTAACACATTTATCACTGCTTTTGAAAATGAACTTAGCAGTTGAAGGATAATATTACTATAGGAGCTTTGTCTTCTCCTCCCGTTATTTGGTCCAGCTTCCCCAGAAGCAGAATTCACATTGTTTTAATTTGACATTGCTTTAATTTCTTTTGCTTCATCATTTCAATGTTACCACATTACTCAATTTCAACTCAAATAAGCAAACTTTAAGTGATTGCCATACTTTTCCAAACAACTGTTATATACACATCGCTATGCTTATTAACCTTCTAGCAGGTCAGGAAATCAAAAATATTCTGCTTACTCTCTCCACACATGCACCTAGTGTGTGTAAATCACTTCCATTTTTAAGGGTATATTTCTCTTGATATTTATTTGAAAAGTATACTGAGAAGTTAAAATTCCTTACATCAAGCCATAACGTACTATGTAACTTTAGGATCAACACCAATGTCAGGATTAAGGATGTCTGTATTTCTTGTTTAGAAAACTTGGAAGACAAACATCAGGAGGCTAAACACTTCCCTCCTGGAAATATAAAACATGAGCATGTTTTCCTTCCTTCCCTTCCCATATCTTTATAATCCAGCTTTCCTTACTAGTGGAAAAAAAGGGAGCCCTAATTCCTAAATCTGTGCTTGGAAGGGTGAGTTTAAAGGGAACATGCTTTGTTTGGTTACTTTCTACACATAAACCCAGAAGGAATTGGTCACGCTTATCTCAACACTTTCAGCTCTGAGGACAGATACACCACATGCCCCACCACGGGAGGAAACCATCTCAACAAGGCAGGTAGGTGTGGAGACTCCAGATCTGTTAGAAAGACACTGCTCCATTTTTAAAACTCTGGGCAACTCATAGAAAGGGAAATAACATTACTTTTGTAAAAGCAATGCCTTAGACTACTGCATAGTTGATGGGTAGATACAACAAAAAACCTTATTATGGAACTTATTATGTATTTTGTATATACAATAAGAAATTTGTGCCAAATAACAGCTGGTAATCTGAAACACTTTGAAACTATCAGACACAGATACCCAAGTCTTTTAAGAGAGAGAGAAAACAGCAATTTCACCGAGTGTAATTCCAAGTTTCAAAGAAAGTCCAGCATTTCTTTCACCAAAAAAGATCCCAGGAGCTCCCCGTGCTTAAGCTGACACAAAAAACTATATATTTCATTTCAGGGGACTTAACAAAATAACCCTCAATCAAAATATTACCTGCTACTATCTCCAATCACTGATTATAGTAATACAGGAGATAAATGTTATGCCCAGTTGAGGTAGTAAAATAATCAAATGCATTTTGATGCACTACTATTAAGGCAAATACTCTTACTCTATAAAAAGCACGATGAATCATTTAATTAACTTGAAGTCATAACCATAGTTGTGAGTGAACTTCAAAAACCATGTTGCAACACCCATTTCTGTATCAAAGTATTTTTTTCAAGCGTCAATTCTGCACCCTGGTGAGTCAACGTTTGTTTAAAAAATAAAGGTATTTCTAGATATAGATATAGAGATAAAGATGTTTCAGATTTAAAACAAACAAACAAAAAGAAACCAACAAACTTGATTAGCGCCTGCCTGAAAACAGACAGTATAAACACTTTGTTGCTATTAGACATTCTGGCTGGCAGACAGCATCCCAAGTGCTACAAACCTTGGGTCAAAAATCAGTACAGCTTTGTCATCTTAAGACTGTAACTAAGTGAAACATCACAACATTATATACTTGAAGATATTGGGTGACTTAAGCTGTAATTAAATATTCTGAATTATTCTATAAGTATTTGCATCGTCTATTCCCAACCCACACCCGCTTATTTTCTCTTAACACTATCCTACTCTCTAACCTTAGCACTGAAGAATTATTTGGGTGTGGTTTCGAGTAAGTTAATTCCAAAAACAGGACAATGAAAAAGATTCAAAATAAAAGGCATTTACTCTCTTCTTCCTATCCCTTATCCCACTCTCCAAAGTCCCTAGTATTCTTCTGAGATCTCTAACGTGGTTTCTTATTTCAATTGTGAAATGCTGCCACTATTTTATGGTTGCAAATGCTACATTTGCACCCAGTATAGTGAAGCTCCAGTTCATACTCAAGACTCTTAAGTGTAGGATAAGACTATACTTTTTTTGTTCTCTTTTCAAAGGGCGAACATGTAAGGCTAAAGCGTTATCCATTGCCACCACAGGGTAGGTCTTCCCATTTGACATTCTGGGAACAGACATCT